CAGACCTCTTCAAGTCGAATTGATGGATCCTACATATACCTGGCATCTCTTTGAACGATTCTGTTACGCTGACTTGGCTCGATTTGTTCCCGATTTTTCCAACCAATTCGGGGTGAATTTGGTCGACATTCTGCACAAACAGAGGGGTTTTCGGGTTCTTTGATTCTTCCAACTCAGGCACAAACACTTTCAATGAATCGACTTTTGACGTTTCTGGAGTCGTAGGCAAGGTTTCGGCTTTATTTGTTCGTCTCGACTCATCCCCCATAGCTCCAACCAACTCATTCTCTCTCATGCTCTGTTTCGTCAGCGATGAAAAACAGAGGTCTCCAACCACGCCTTCAACTCGCTGGAACTCCAGCTCCTGCAATGGCGGTGTTTACACCTAAAAATAATTTGGCCTGAATTAAATGCCACATTAATTCGTCTCGGCATTTAATTCGATATCGCAGGACAAAAAACGATGTCGTTTGGAGTCGTGCAATACCGCGGAGAATTTAAGCGAGACCGCGAAGAGGCTCGGCGGTACCGCGGTACTTGAAACGACATTGGTTGCAGACCATGTGTGAGTCATGCGCAGGACATGTATTGCTGTTGGACAAGGAATGTTTTTTTATTCTATTTTTCCTTGTCGGAGGAGGAGAGTAACAACACCGTTTGGAGTCAAGCAATGTTGCGAAGAGATAAAACGGTGCCGTGAACCTCAAAGCTCAACGGCATCGCGAGACAGGGAAACGATGTCGTTTGGCTAAAAACGGCACCGCGACAAGCGGCATCGCGGATGAGTTAAAACGATACCGCGAGTAAGCCCAACGGTACCGTTGTGCTAGAGAAAACGACAGTGTTTAATATAAAACAATGTCGCAGAGGAAAAGCAAACAGAGCTGTTTGAGGAAGAAAACGACACCGCAAGTAAGCCCAACAATGCCGTGGTACGTGAAATATTTAATTAATGCGGTGTCGCAAGGCTAAAAATGCCGCTAGTTAAACAACAACGCATCGGAATTGATGTCGCGGTCGCAAATTCAGTGGCGTTGCGAGTTCGACAATGCCGAGAAATTCAACGATGTCGCAAGGCCAAAACAACATCGTGGAGCTCAACGACGTAGTGAGCTTGAGGGTGTTTCAAGCTGAGCAATGTCGTGAATGGGTTCAACGACGTCGTTATGGAAACTTTGTTAGTGGAGGCGTAAATGACGTCGCGGGCTCATGAAAATAACGGAGTTATTTTCTTGCACGGGAGATTCGGGAGTGAAGAGAAGATCAAAGCAGTTGAAGACTATGACTCTGTGGATAAGAGTGAAGACACGTGGGAGTTCACGACAGAGCGGTTGAGGAAGCAGTTCCACAGGGCGTGAAGACTACGCAAGTGATTTCAAATAAAAGCAGCGGAGCAAGGAGAGAGAAAAGGACAACCAAAATCAACACAAACTTTACCTTTTCTCTGTAACTCCTTCGTGGAGCTCTCCTTCCAGGAAGGATCTCCATAATTGTAGTCTTAGTCATAGTTGCGGAGCTCTCCACAGGAATCTCCATAGGAGTAGCGGTAGTGTAGATTCCTAAAAAAACTCAAACACCCTCGTTCGAACATAGTTTGGAGAGGTGCGAACCGTAGTAACGGTCGTTCTTGGTTAGAAGTCAGAGGTGCATCGATCAAATCAACACCGCCGGGCGGTGGATATTTGACGGTCACGTTGATTTCACCATTTAGAGGTGCATCGATCAAATCAACGCGCCGACATTCGGCGGCGGATATTTGATGGTCGTCTCGATTTCAGCAATCAGCGGTGCATTCGATCAAACGGCACCGCAAGAGTTTCCACCGCGAAACATCAAATCGACATCGCCAGAAATGAATTCGGTACCGGCCCAGTGGGACACGTGTGTTTGAAGTGAAATATGGCTCTGCGGCATGGAAAACACTACGTTGATCTTCCACAAGAATCTGTGAAGGTGGACCATGTGGTCAGCATTGAAGTTGACCAAGCAGAGGAGGCAGATCGACATATCGGTAGGATGAAGGTAAATCTCTATTTTATCTCTTTAAATAAGCCTTGTGATTCTCTTGGAAGACATATGGACCAATTTTTTGAGATGATAGATGAACATGTTTCTGGTATTGCCAATAAGGATTCACTTAAACTTGTGGCTAAAATAGTGGCGTTAGGGGCCAACAAATCTCATGTTGGTTCTCTTGTGAACACTATTGTTTTGAATGACAGGAAAGTTAGAGCGGTCTTGCGAAAGCCACAACAAAGAACAAAATTTAAACGGGTTTATAATAAGTTTCAGAAAATTAGGAAGAACAAGTGTGATATCTTGAAAGATGACAAATTTTACGACATTGTTCAATCTAAGCCGCTAGGGGGGCATGTCATCCCAGATCGTGGTAGATTGAAGGAGAAACAACACCGTAAGTGACAAATAAGTTTGCCACATCCACCTTATTGTAAGAAAAATCGAACTGGGGTCACCATAGACACTATTCAAGATGGAGGTGGTGACCACGTGAAAAAAACCAATCCCGCAAGAATTGGCATGAATCAAAAGAACCCTCATTGTAATTTCTCCCCAAAGCCTCCACTGAGTGAACATGGGGGCAAGTTCAATCAAACCCGACATGGGGTTTCCACGCCAATGCTGGCTGGGAACAAGTCTTCCATGATTTTTGGGCAGGGGGGCAAGCTAAATGCCCGAAAAATTCCAATCCCACGTGAAAATTCAAAAGATACCAAGTGGTTATGTGATAAGTGCAAAAATCAAAATAACCACATGACTGTTGACGAAGCTCGTAAGCCTCAAACTCAACAACGTCGTGAGTGTGTGCAGATGACAAAACAAGACCAGTCTGGGCAAGCGATGCCACATGGTCGATTTGGTAGGACAAGGACGTTAAAAAACTCCAATGTCCCGCCAAGAGTAAAAAACACTGGTGATTTTCTCTGTCACGGCCCTATGACTAAGATGAAGCAAAATCGAGCTCGTGGAATCTCGAACAAGGGTGTTCGAGCTGGACAAACTGGAAAGTTGCAAGCCAGCTATGAATGCAAAAAATCTAAACCAATGTATGTAGAGCTAGCTGGGACTAGTGAGAGTATTTATGGATGGCTTGTTTGGTTTGATCCGTGGAGTGGACCTTTGGCATGATGGTTTATGCCAAAGTCTAATCTGTTGGTTATTTATGTATTAGTAACAAATAAAATATAGCTAATTTAGGCCACAAGATATATATGTGTAAAAAAAAAATGCAAAGGAAACAAGCATGTTTCCAGGTCCAACAGTGGTGCTTTATTTCTCACCAACGTTGTGGTGACCGCAAAGCGGATGACACAACACCATGGTGAAATGCAACAGTATTGTTCCGGACCCGATTGATTTTTTTCTTCGCATAGGAAAATAATAGTTTTAAAATATAATAAAAAGTAATACGCCGCTATTTCTCTAAACAGTGTTGCGGGACTTTTGAAAGAGAAGAAAAAAAGTCGTACTAACATCAGGCCTGGCTAGTTTGCAGCGCTGCAAGAGAGAAAAAGAGGGCAAAAAACAGCGCTGTAAAGTTTGCCGCAGCCTTGCGAGCAATAAAAAAAATTCATAATTGGCTGAGTAAATGCATATTTAAAAGAGGCCAAAACAATGCTGCGAGCTGCCACATTGTTGTTAGATTGGTTCCTCGTTTTACTTTTGTGAGAAACCATGCTTATGAGTTTTATAAAAATAAAGATAAAAGAAGATACGTAAGGCCAATGTAATGGTCATTTGAACTATGAGAAAAACATGCAGGGTTGTTCTGCTCTTCGCAGCTTTGCGGTGTGGGGACAAATTCACTGCGTTTTAGTAAAGCTCGTCACAGCGTTGCGGGTAATGGCTGGTTGCAGTGTTGCGGAATGAAAAAAAAAATAAAAAAAATCAAAGCACCACCGTTTTGGTCCAACGCAACATTGAGGGTTTTTTTTGGAAAGAAAATATAGTTTCAACGTAATAGCTTAAGACAACGTTGCGGGCAACGGAAAATTGATAGTGGCCAAAGCAACGTTGTTATGGACCAAAACAATCTTGTTTAGCCGTGCAGACCCGTGGCCGCAACAGCGTTGCTGAAATAAAATAATAATAAAATGCTAAGATGTAGCAGAGAAAAAATTATATAGGCCTAAATAGCGTTGCCGCAATACGGATGAAAAAAAAATCCACAGCGTTGCGATAGGTCTTGGCAACGTTGTTTGGCCGAAAGCGTTGTTTGGCAACCACGAGAGTAAAAATCGGATCCTGGGGAGACTAGGTCCAAACAGTGATGCGCTGCTACCACTAGTCTGTGTTTTGGATAATCATGCGTTGAACAGTGTTGCGTGGAATTGTGTTGGCTGATTTTTGCTTTAGGGCCATCAAGCACGGTTATTTTAGCCGAGCAGAGTTGTACCTAGAAAAAAGGAAAAAACCGAGCAGAGCTACAATTGCAATTCTATTGGGGATAAAAAGGAGAGAAAGCGGCATTAGTGAGAGTGCCGCAGAGTTGTTGGCAAAGAAAGAGAGTCCGAGAAGCTTTTGGAAGCCTGCCGCAATGTTGAAACCAAGTGAGAAAAAAAAAATTATAATAAAACTTAGGTCGCTAATCCGCTGCGCCATGGGGGAAATAAACAGGGCTGTGTAATTGCTTCGGCCTGTAGCATCGTGGGATTTTAAGCCACCTAACAGCTTTGGTTAAGGGCTAAGAGATAAGCGTCGATGAGAATTGATGTTTTGGCTGCCAATCGTGGTGGGGAAGGTAACATTGCTGGAATGTGACATCTGTGCGGAAGAGGCTCAAAATTGGTGGGACGCGTTGGTCAAACTTATCCCTACCAACATTGCATGACTAATCAATTTCATGCATTAGCCTAGCGTTGGAATAGCATAGTTTGATATAAAATTATTTTAGGTGATTGGATTATGTCAACAACTTGGTTCATAATTCTTATAAACCAAGTTGTGGGGGCATTGTTTACACCTAAAAATAATTTGGCCTGAATTAAATGCCACATTAATTAGTCTCGCATTTAATTCGATATCGCAGGACAAAAAACGATGTCGTTTGGAGTCGAGCAATACCGCGGATAATTTAAGCGAGACCGCGAAGAGGCTCGACGGTACTGCGGTACTTGAAACGACATCGGTTGCAGACCATGTGTGAGTCATGCGCAGGACATGTATTGCTGTTGGACAAGGAATGTTTTTTTATTCTATTTTTCCTTGTCGGAGGAGGATAGTAACAACACCGTTTGGAGTCAAGCAATGTTGTGAAGAGATAAAACGGTGCCGTGAACCTCAAAGCTCAACGGCATCGCGAGACAGGGAAACGGTGTCGTTTGGCTAAAAACGGCACCACGACAAGGGGCATCGCGGATGAGTTAAAATGATACCGCGAGTAAGCCCAACGGTATCGTTGTGCTAGAGAAAAGGACAGTGTTTAATATAAAACAATGTCGCGGAGGAAAAGCAAACGGAGCTGTTTGAGGAAGAAAACGACACCGCAAGTAAGCCAAACAATGCTGTGGTACGTGAAATATTTAATTAATGCGGTGTCGCAAGGCTAAAAATGCCGCTAGTTAAACAACAACGCAGCGGAATTGATGTCGCGGTCGCAAATTCAGTGGCGTTGCGAGTTCGACAATGCCGAGAAATTCAACGATGCCGCAAGGCCAAAACAACATCGTGGAGCTCAACGACGTAGTGAGCTTGACGGTGTTTCAAGCTGAGCAATGCCGTGAATGGGTTCAACGACGTCGTTATGGAAACTTTGTTGGTGGAGGCGTAAACGACGTCGCGGGCTCATGAAAATAACGGAGTTATTTTCTTGCACGGGAGATTTGGGAGTGAAGAGAAGATCAAAGCAGTTGAAGACTACGACTCTGTGGATAAGAGTGAAGACACGTGGGAGTTCACGACGGAGCGGTTGAGGAAGCAGTTCCACAGGGCGTGAAGACTACGCAAGTGATTTCAAATAAAAGCAGCGGAGCAAGGAGAGAGAAAAGGACAACCAAAATCAACACAGAACAACTATGTCAAAACTTTACCTTTTCTCTGTAACTCCTTCGCGGAGCTCTCCTTCCAGGAAGGATCTCCATAGTTGTAGTCTTAGTCGTAGTCGCGAGCTCTCCAGAGGAATCTCCATAGGAGTAGCGGTAGTGTAGATTCCTCAAAAAACTCAAACACCCTCGTTCGAACATAGTTTGGAGAGGTGCGAACCGTAGTAACGGTCGTTCTTGGTTAGAAGTCAGAGGTGCATCGATCAAATCAACACCGTCGGGCAGTGGATATTTGACGGTCACGTTGATTTCACCATTTAGAGGTGCATCGATCAAATCAATGGCGCCGACATTCGGCGGCGGATATTTGACGGTCGTCTCGATTTCAGCAATCAGCGGTGCATTCGATCAAACGGCACCGCAAGAGTTTCCACCGTGAAACATCAAATCGACATCGCCGGAAACGAATTCGGCACCGGCGGTGGTATTTGATTTTTTCAGGAAACAGGCGGCTCCCCAGTCAAAGTTGCCACTGCCTTAGCTTGCTCTTCCTCATCTTGGAGCTGTTGCAGCAGGGTGGCTTGATCTTCTGCAGCTTCTTCTGGTGACAGAAACTTTAAAGCAAAGTTTTTCCCACAATGCCGCAGTCTGACATGGTTTGTCCTTCTGCTTCGTCGAGCTCCGTGATCGACATGCCATGGATTTCCAAGCACAACATGGGACATCTTTAGAGGCAACACATAGCAACGAACCTCATCCTCGTAGCTTCCAATTCGAAAAGGTAAGATCACCTCCTCTGTTACAAAAACATAGTCTTCTTCCTCCAACAATAACAAAGAATAAGGGGCTGGAAGTTTTCGAATTGGCAGCCCCAATTTAGCCACTGCTCGTGAGCTAATCAGGTTCGATTGGCTTTCACCATTGACATACACAGAGCACACCTTCTCTCCCACCAAACAGCGCGTGTATGACGTCAAATTAGCTTGCTCCAAGTCGACCATCATGGCCATCGATTTTGCTGCAGAATTCTTCAAAAATCGCCACGGATTTGAACCTAAGGCTCTGATGCCACTTAATACGACCCTGGGGGGTGTATTTTTATCAAAGTAACGCAGCAATCAATCAATCCGTAGATTGATTGAACTCGAATTAAGAACAATGCGTTCTTAATACGAAATTGGGATAAAACGGAACCAACGGACAATTCCACACATGGGGAAAGCTCGTATGGTATAAAAGGGTAGCTGCTCGACCACGATTGAAGAGAATATTCAATCGATACAAAGCTCACAAGCTTGGAATCCACCAAACTCAACAAGTCGCAACTTGCACAAACCAAACGGTTTAATTTCAATTCTCCAAATCTGAATTTTACAACGTAATTAGAAGGCTATTTATAGCCACGAAAACCTAATACAAACCTTATGTAACTAGTAAACAATTATGGTAAAAAAAAACTCTAAAAACAGTACAAAACTCGGGTTTAAACTCCCTTTCTTGAAGCACAAGTAAGCTGCCAGCAAAACAGTCAAAAGGCAGCTTTCGTACTAACTTCACGCCTTTCGTTCGAGACCTTCCTGAACTCCAATCTTTCATCCAATTCCTTCCCTTTATTCAAAAACATACCTAGTTTCATGTTGTGGAAGCCTTTGGACTTGAATCAGATCCATACTCCTCGAATTAAGCTCCAGAGTAGGCTTCACAAAACAGTTTTCTGCCTTGGCCATTTTCTGGCAGTTTTCCAGTTTCGAGGTAGCAATTTTGAGGCATTGGAAAACAACCTTAATGCATCATATGGATCCAAAAAAGCATACCATTGGAAACATGGAAACTTTATCTGCAAAACAAACCCTTGACCTCCAATTTTCATTGATCCATTTGTGAGATACAAGCTTCCATAGTAGGCTACTTGAAACTGTTTCAACACTTGGCCAAAAATCAGAATGCTTCAACTTAATTGAGATGAATTCTTTGGAAAGTAATTGTGAAATGTGGATTGATCCAATTGTGATCATATCACAAAGGCTGGGACCGCTTCTCAGAACCCTACAAAACCCGGTCCTTCTGCTTGTGCCGCGGCCTCGTCAAAGTCGCTTATCCACGTGAGTAGAGCTCCCCCTCCGACAGGTCAAGCTATGCTCACGAGCGAAGCCGATGGGCTGATGACTGTGCAAGCGGGAGGAGAGACAGTGCGTAAAGCGCATGATGTTGGGAAGCGTGACGCGGAGAGTCCTGCTGAATAGAGTGAAGATGGTCGAAAGAAGGTGAAGGCGACCTCCTTGACCGAAACTGTGGATTTTCCCCCCCACTCCTCGCTGCGTGAGGATTGCGCTCGCCGTATGTTGCATGAGCTGTCCGGGAAGTTGCTAGTCCCGCCCGAGTATACTGATGCTGAAGATCCGTCAAGCAGGCACTGGGTTGGCACCGCCGCTCGCTTTCTTCTCGCGGTAAGCATTTTTACCTTTGCTTATTGATTACCTTTTTGATGGCCACTGACGGGAAAACTTGTGAACGCAGGCGGGTGTTGGTTTATCTCAAGTTGGGATGACCAACGAAAAGCTACATATGGCCAACCTGCGCGGCGAAGTGGAGGCGGAGAAGCTCCGAAAGCGGATTGGCGAGTTGGAGGCGGAGTCGATCAAGGGGCGAGCTGCCTTTCGGGCGGAGGCCAGAGCAGAATTGGAGAAGGAGCATGCTGATACCGTCAAGGATCTCCGGGTGGACCTGTCTCGAGGGGTGCAGAAGGTCAACAGTCTGATGGCGGACAAGGAGATTTTGGAAGCTGACATATCTCGCTTGCATTATCGGGTGGAGGAGCTTGAGAAAGCCCAGGCGGAGAGCGTGCTAAGGCACAAGACCGAGGTGGATGCTGCATCAAAGGCTGCGGTTGCATCGTATCTACTATCCCCCGCATTCCGCAAAATAGATGACGCCAAACGTTCTAAGGTGATGGGGGATACGGTGCCTTCCATCCGGCACTTGTTCCGTCGCGAACATCCGGAGCTGGAGTGGGACACTGATGCCGTGTGGGATGTGGTGGTAGCCTGGGGCTCTTCCGAGGGTGATGTCAATTCCGAGAATGCCCTTTCGGTGTCAGCGGATGGTGATGAAGCAAGCTCTCGAGGCCAAGCTTAATTTGCTGTGTTTATGACTGTTGTTTTGAAGTCAAACTTGTTCTCGACTGTGGGCTGTGTTTATATTATTTTCCTTGCATCGTGACACTGTCCGCTTCAATGCGGCTTATTAAGTTTTTGTTGTGATCATTCCATTTCCTCGTGCGTGCCGTCAATTGTTGTGTGTGCTTCCGGGTTGCCTTTCCGGGATGCGTGTTTTAGGAGATCGGCATTCCGCGGGCGGGTTATCCTCGCTTCGTGGTAGCGTTTCTAGGAATAACCCATGTCCCGGGATGCGTTTTAGGAGCGAGTCCCTGCCCCTCAGGGCATTCCGCGGGCGGGTTATCCTCGCTTCGTTGTAGCGTTTCTAGGAATAGCCTATGTCCCGGGATGCGTGTTAGGATCTCGCTCTGCCTTCGGGGTGGCGTGTTAGGAGCGAGTCCCTGCCCCTCAGGGCATTCCGCGGGCGGGTTATCCTTGCTTCGTGGTAGCATTTCTAGGAATAACCTATGTCCCGGGATGCGTTTTAGTATCTCCCTCTGCCTTCGGGGTGGCGTGTTAGGAGCGAGTCCCTGCCCCTCAGGGCATTCCGCGGGCGGGTTATCCTCGCTTTGTGGTAGCGTTTCTAGGAATAACCCATGTCTCGGGATGTGTTTTAGGATCTCGCTCTTCCTCGGGGGTGGCATGTTAGGAGCGAGTCCGTCCCTCAGGGCATTCCGCGGGCGGGTTATCCTCGCTTCGTGGTAGCGTTTCTAGGAATAGCCCAAGTTTGTGATGCGGGGCAATGAACTTTGTAGACCATGCATATATTGATCATTTCTTGAAAGAGGATTACATTTTTTACTCTGCAGAGTAGTACTTGCGCAAGTGTAGTGAGTTCCACGTCTTGGTGACTGCTTCTCCGCCCATGGTGGCGAGCTTGTAGGTGCTGGGTCCAATTTTGTCGCTAATGAGGTAGGGGCCTTCCCAATTCGTCGTCAGCTTCCCATGCCTCTCCTTCTCTCTCTTGTCGAACATCCTTTTGAGCACCATGTCTCCTTCTTCAAGCGATCGGGGGCGCACTTTGTTGTTGTATTCTCGTGACACTTTCTCCTTCTCTGCAATTGTTCGAGTCAGGGCCGCTTCCCTTCTTACTTCTGTCATGTTCAGCTGGTGAAGTAGGTTGGCATGGTTTTCCTCGGGGTCGTAGGCTCTGATGCGGAGCGTCGGCAGATGTAACTCTGTTGGGATTACCGCTTCACTCCCATATGTGAGGGAGAATGGTGTTTCGCCCGTTGCAGTTTTGTGCGTGGTTCTGTGGGCCCACAGGATGTGCGGGAGCTCAGTTGTCCAGACACCTTTTGCCTCTCCCAGCCTTCTCTTTAACCCTCGCAAAATGAGCTTGTTGGATGATTCCACCTGTCCATTTGCTTGAGGGAACGCCACCGATGCCATGCTGAATTTTATTCCATGCTCTTGACAGAACCTTTCGAACGGGAGGTAGTCGAACTGAGTTCCATGATCCGTTACGATCGTCTCGGGGATCCCGAAGTGGATCAGTATGTTGTTGAAAAGGAACTTCTGTATCCGGGCACTGGTGATTGCTTCGAGAGGCTCATCTTCTATCCATTTGGTAAAGTAGTCGACGGCTACCACCAAGTACTTCTTGCCCAACGGAGCGTTAGGGAAAGGCCCTAGAAGATCCAAACCCCATTTCGCAAAAGGCCATGGGCTCACTATTCCTTTCATTTCGGAGGCCGGGTGATGGTGCTTATCTGTGTGTGCTTGGCACGCATGACATTCGCGCACTATCTTGAGAGCGTCCTTCACGGTAGGCCAATAATATCCTTGCAAGAGGATAGCTCTTTCGAGGCTTCTCGGGCCGATATGGGTGGCGCAGGTACCCATATGTATCATCTTTAAAGCTTGTTCGGCCTCCTCGCCTCCTAGGCATTTCAAGTAAGCCCCCGTGAAAGAACGCTTATGCAGCTCTCCCCTCACTAGGGCATACTGGGTGGTCTTTCGACGAAGTGCTTTGGCTGCCACCTTGTCTTCGGGTACCTCATCACGCTCAAGGAAACTGATGAGTTTATTTCGCCAATCTTGATCACCTTCTCCTACTTCGTTTACTGTAGCCGTTACTTCCTTCATTACGGTGACCTGCCTCTCACCGTCAAAGTCCATGGCGGTGGCCAGCTTGGACAGCGCATCGGCATGCGCATTGCCTTCCCGTCTGACGTGCTCCAAAGACCAGTCTTCCATTTGCGCAAGCACTCTTTGCGCTTTCCCTGCCAGCCGCATCAGCTCTTCCTCCTTTATCTCAAAATTTCCATTAATTTGCCCCACCACTAACGATGAATCTGAAAGAATTTTGACTTTCTTCGCTCCCATGCCTGAGACTAACTTCAGCCCATTTATCAACGCCTTGTACTCAACAACATTGTTTGTCTTCATGGCGTCGAAGCGCATGGCGATCTCGTGGATGACGCCTTCAGGGGTCTCGATGACTATTCCTGCTCCCGCTCCTCCTTTTCCCGCTGCCCCATCCACTGATAATTTCCACGCCTCATTTCCCTTGTGCTCTCCACTGTCAAGAGTAAAGCCTTCAACAATGAAATCCGCAAGAACTTGGGCCTTCACCGCTGGTCGGGGAGCGTAAGATATATCATGTTCACTTAGCTCGACCGCCCACTTGGTCATCCTTCTAGAGGCGTCCACCCCGTGCAGTATTTTCTTGAGAGGGAGGTTGGATAGGACAGTGATGGGGTGGCCTTGGAAATAGGGTCGTAGCTTCCGAGCGATCATAGCGACTGCAAGGACCGCCTTCTCAACTACCAAGTATCTTGTCTCTGCTGGGAGCAACACTTTCCTAACATAGTAGACAGGCAGGTCTTTGTCGTCGTCTGACCTCCTTACTAGCACCGAACTCACGGCCTGATGCGAGACTGCCAAGTATAAGAAAAGGCGTTCCCCGATGACGGGGGCGCTGAGAACGGGAGGCGACGCTAGTTGCTCTTTGAGGCGTAAGAAGGCCTCGTTGCATTCTTCACTCCACTTGACGCGGGTAGTAGACTTATTCAGGATTTGGAAAAACGGAGAGCACTTATCTGCCGACCGGGGTATGAACCAGCTTAATGCTGCCATCTTCCCATTGAAAGCTTGTAATTCCTTGATCGTTTTCGGGGCCTTGAGTTGTAAGATAGCCAATTTGCTTTGGGTTGGCTTCGATTCCCCGCTTCGTAATCAGAAAACCCAAAAACTTACCCGCTTCCGCCCCGAATGCGCACTTCGTGGGATTCAGTCGCAACCCATGCTCCCTCATATTCGTGAATGTTTCCCTTAAGTCTTGTAGGTGTGTTCCCGCCTCCTTGCTTTTCACCAATACGTCATCGACGTACGCCTCCACATTCCGCCCTATATGCTGGCATAACACTGCGTCCACCATCCTTTGGTACGTTGCCCCCGCATTCTTCAAGCCAAAAGGCATGACCACCCAACAGTAGTTTCCTGTAGCCGTCATGGAGGAGGTTTTCTCGTGGTCTACTTCCGCGAGGCTTATTTGGTGATAGTCTGAGAACATGTCCAGGAAACTTAACATGGAATTGTTTGCTGTGGCATCTATGAGCTGATCAATCCTCGGGAGCGGGTACGCATCCTTGGGACAGGCACTGTTCAGGCTCGTAAAGTCCACGCACATATGCCACAAGCCCGAGCTCTTTTTGACGAATACTGGGTTGGCTAGCCAGGTGGGGTATAGCACTTCCCTGATAAATCCTACTTTAAGGAGCTTTTGTATTTCCTCCTCCAACGCCATCTTTTTTACAATGGATATGTTCCTTCGCTTCTATTTTATAGGGCGAGTGTTTGGCTTTATCGCGAGGCGGTGCTCTGCGAGTTCGCGCGGCACTCCCGGCATATCTTCCGGCCCCCATGCGAAAAGATCGGCAAACTCTCGGAGTAGGCTGATCATGCTAGCTGCCAGCTCGGGTTGTAGGTGCGCCGATATGCCTACCGTTTTTTCTGGCTCGTCTTCCCGCAAAGGTACCGCGATGTCTCCCTCCAGCGCTTCCGGTCTCGAGTTGTTCCCCCTTGTATCCACCAAATCTACCTCCAACTGCTTGATGGTTGCTTGGTAGCATTCTCGCGCCTGTTGCGTGTTACCTTTGACGCAGCCAACGCCTCTCCCTACGGTGAATTTTAACCTTTGATGACATGTAGATGCTACCGCTCCGAAGATTGAAAGGAAACTGCGTCCCAGGATTGCAATATACGCCGAGGGACAGTCCGCCACGTAAAACTCCATGGATTTTGTCTTGGTCACGCTTCCCTCCCCGATTGTCACACACAATGTAACCACGCCTAAGACCTTTATCTTCGATCCAGAAAAACCCACCAGCTGTGTTGAGGATGGCTTGAGGTCTTCTATACCTTTCTTCATGCTTTTCAAGGTCGAGAAGAAAAGAATGTCGGCCAAGCTTCCATTGTCGATGAGCGTTTTGGTCACTTTGTATATTCCCGTGCGGAAAGATATGACAAGGGGGTCTTCTGGCGCTTCTGGATTGGCTAACTCCGCCGCTTCGAAAACAACTTCAGCGACGGACGCAGCGGAAACAGTTAAGCACGCTTCTCCTTCATTCGCGATCCGTGGTCGCTTTCTTCCCCCAGCGATGGTGATTATTTCTAAATCTTCATCGTCCAGGCGGGGCTGCCTCCTTGGAGGCGGCGCGTTTGGAGGCGATGGGAGTCTCTCTCTTTCCCCTCGATCACGAGACCTCGACCTCCGGGGTTTTTTTGACCTCTTGCCTCTCGACCTCGAACGCGACCTTCTGGGAGATCTGCTTCGGTGCTGCCTGAGTGACGGCAATCTAGTTGTCCGCTCTTGCTTCTTCGATTCCAGTCTGCTCCTCAAATCTCCGGGGGCAAGATTTTCAATGCTCATCTGAAATCTCGACAATCCACGGTGTTCTGAACACCGGGGCTTCGGGACGCCTTTGAGTATCGCGTCGGGGCCTCTCTTCTCTATGTTTACGAGGCGGGGCGTCTTCCCTATCTCTTTCTGTTGTATAGACTTCCCGTTGATTCTCTCCCTGATGACTCGATATTTGCACATGTTTTCCCCTTTGTTTCTTGATCGTTTGAGCTTTAATTATTGTGTCTTTGGCCTATTTTACGCTAGGTTTTGTTCCTTTGTCACATTTCAGGTCCTAGCACATAAAGTGAAGCATAGGCGCAAGTTTCAAGTCAATCAGAGATCAATTGGCGATTCGGGAGAAGAAACTCGGGCATGACCTGAAGAAGAATGGATTTCTACCTCCCTTTATGGATAAAGAATCATACAAGCTTGTCATTAAAAGAAATAGGACGAGACTACGAGCGTCTGGGATCAAACGACGACTGATTCGGAGTCCGGACGAGGGAGAGACAAAGCATTGAATATAGGGGAACGGGTTCGGCAGTAAAAACACGGGCGCGCCTAAATCAAAACACGGCCGTGCCCATATTTAGGCACAACCGTGTTTTGGCCAACGCGTGCGGGCGTGTTTTTAACATGGGGCAAAGTACAGGCGGGCAAAACCAAAGCACGGCCGTGCCCTCGACCGTGTTTTGCCCAGAATCGGGTTTTTTAGCCCAAATTCGAGCCAAAGGAGGAGGAGAGCTGGGTTTTGGATCCAAAACACCCAAGGGACGAACCAAAGAGAGAGAGAGGGCAATTTGAGGGCATTCGAAAAGTGGAATTGGAGGATTTCTTCGCCTTGGAAGCTCGAGGAACAAGCCCGGACTTGAAGACTGATCATCTGAAGATTCTTACTGCAGTCTCTCTCTTCTCTATGGAGTAACTTCCCTTCACTTAGGTTTTGAGGAACCCTAGCTATGTTTGTTTGATTGGATTATTGTATGAGTACTCTGACTTGATAATCTTGAGTTCATATTCAATCTATGCATGTTTTCATGATTCAATTCTGCTTTAGTCGAGATTATAGATTGATAGTAGTGGATCGATTGCTTAAGTAGAGGGTTGATTCACTGCTTTGTATCGATTGAGAACCTCTTTCGATAGAGGGAGTCTAGTTCAGAACGCCTTGATCAGTTGTTCTAGAGAAGGATACGTCCGTCTAGGCAATTGACTCAAGAGGGCCTTGTTCCTTTAGTCGAGACTCAAGGTCTAGTCAAGGATTCTCCGCATTGTGAATGAAAGTGAAACAAGTTAGAAATCATCAATCGTTAGTCTGGCTAGTGGCTAGGGGGAATCATACCTAAGTGAGTTCCCAACCTGTAATTAGATTAACTTTAACTGTAGTTTGCTAGAGTAGTTTTAGTTCTTTCATCTTAATCTGGTTTGCTAAATAATAAACTGAAGCTGAGTAATAGTAACTCTAGAGACCCGTGGATTCGATATTTATCACTTGAGCCACTATACTGCAGTCCCTTCCATTGGTTACACTTGGCCATTGTTAGGTGTTGTGTCGTAGCGAGTCAAGTTTTTGGCGCCGTTGTCGGGGACTTTCTAGAGTATTAGGAAAGGCAGAAGTTTGTTACTTTAGCGTTTTTCTTTTCTTTTCTTTTCCACCCTTGCTTTTCACTTGGGTGTTTTTGTTTTTGTTTGTGCAGATCTGAATCATGGATCCTCATGGCTTCTCCAATCATTGGGGGTATCCACCACCATCCGAGTGGTATTACCCCGAGACTCCCTGGAGCAATCAAGGAGGTGAAGACTATGGATTCGGGTTCCAGTACCAACCCCCTTACTACGGAGAACAACCGGACCCCTAGGCATATCAAGAACAACCTCATTACCAAGAAGAATTTCTCCCACAACCAGAGAGATGCTACACTCCACAGCCAGATCCAAACTATGAATTGAGGCTTCTCGTGGAGCAGTTTTCTCGAGACTGTGAGAGATCATGCTCCAGGATGGATCACTGTCTCCAGGCCTTTCGTGAAACAGAGGAGATCCTCCTGAGCCTTAAGAAGAGCGTCGATGATCTTGAGCGATCTTTGGCACAACCTGCTCCAGATCAACCTTCCGCTACCACACAAGAAGAGGAGGAGGACGAAGAAGGCTACAAGGACATTGTGGAGCACACTGAAGTTGTCACGGAGAGCTCCCGTGATGATCATGATCCGGAGTGTCCTGTTGATAGACCGTTAATTACACATGTTTTTACCCCTGTTCTTACACCGTTTGAGATGTGATTTCTCGTGTTTTAGGCCGATTTCACGCTAGGTTGTGCTTGTTTGTGATATTTCAGGTCCTAGTACGTGAATGGAGGCTTGGGAGCGAGTTTGGGGTCGATTGGATGAAGATCGGGCGCGAGGCAAGCCGATGAGGAAGCCACACGGGCACAAGTAATTTCCACACGGCCGTGTGGAGGAGCAAGGTGGCCGTGCGAGTTTCGCCGAGAGCAAACACGGGCAGGATGGAAATCCCACACGGCCGTGCGACCCTGGCCGTGTGGGAAGCCTGAAGATCGAACTAATTGATACGCCGCATTTTGACTCACACGGGCAACTGGGTGAGCCACACGGCCGTGTGGCCTGCCCGTGTGAGTCGGGAAATCTTGGTTTTTCAGCCAATTTCGAGCCAAAAGAGGGAGGATCGGACTTTTTGAGAAAAAATAGAGCCCTAGAGAGAGAAAGGACGAAGAACACATCCTAGAAGCCATCTTGGAGCTGGGTTTCATCGAATCGAGCTTGGAGATCGTCCTAGGAGTGGAAATCATCATCCCGGAGCAGATTTTCCTCATCTTTATGAGTATGACTACTCCGATTACTGTTTTCTTCTCTCCCTCTATGGAGTAGAACCTCTCTCTCACTTGGGGATGAAGAACCCTAGTTCTATGTGTTAGGGATTGATTGTAATGACTTGGGATGATATTACTGTTTGATTTTAATTGAATGATGCATGTTTATTGAGTCAATTAAAGTCTGATCAACTTTTCCTGATTCCTGCTGCAATCTGAGATAGATAGAATCTGATTAGGTTGCTAGAGTCTCATCATTTGGTAGTAGGAGATTGGCTATACGAGAGTTAGCCAGTTTACTGCTTTGTACTAGAATCCAATTCCAGTAGTGGAGTTCTGTTCTTACTGCTTCAGCTTTCTATCCCGGTGAAGACTAGTCGTCTGCCGGGTAGTTAGACTGAGAGGGCTTGGTCAGCTTAAGAGATTCCAAGCTACTGTCGGATCTTCCGCAGTCTAATCAACAGTAAATCAACCCAGGGTAATTGCAATTGAACCTCACTAAGATGCTAGGGGAACTCATTCCCGAGTGACTCTTTCCTGCTTGAGAAAACCGAATAATTTCCTGCTTTTCTTGCTGCTTTTAGTTTAAACACAAATCACTCGACTTAGTTGGTTGATAATAAATAATCACGGAGTAAGCAGTAGATCTAGACCCCGGGTTGATAATAGAACTTGTCTGTTACTACATTCCCGGACTGCAATTACACTTGGTCGCAGTTTGGTGTTGTGTTTTGGCGTGTCAAGTTTTTGGCGCCGTTGCCGGGGACCCTCTAGGTTATTGGGGAAACGTGAGAATTTGTTACTCTAGCTTTTTATTTATTGCATTTTATCTCTTCCACCTGTGTGCCTTCACGGGTTGCTTCGGCTGATTGTGTGCAGGTAGTGCATGACCCGTAGCCAGTCGGGAGAACTACTACCATTAGACCAGGAGCTTGAGCGAACTTGCAGGAACTTCAAGCGGGCTCTAAAGGCACGACTGGCTGCGGAGGAGGCGCTATCACAGCTGCAGTTAGAAGAAGAAGAAGAAGAGATGGCTGATCCAGAGAACCATGATGTGATCCCTGAGGAGCAGACCATGGGATCCCACTGGACCGCTAGAGCTGCGAACATGAGGTCACCCATTCAACATCCTCATGTCCCAGCCAAGATCAATGGGTGTTCCGTGGTAAGGAGGGGGAGTGCCCCCGATCACATCTCAGGCGATTCCACGAGCTCATTGATGGAATCAAGATCAATGGGGTACCAGCAGATGCCATCCAGCTGAGGTACTTCCCATTTACTCTGGAGGGGCAAGCCAAGGAGTGGCTAGACACTCGACCTCCGGGCTCTATCACCACGTTCGCCAACCTGGCGGACAAGTTCCTCACCCGCTACCATCCTCCATCCAAGACAGCTGACCTGTAGAAGCAAATTACCCATTTTGCTCAGGACGAGGATGAGACCATCAAGGATGCTTGGTAGAGATACACCAGTCTTTTCCTCAGGTGTCCAAATCATGGTTTCAATGATGCGTTCAAGGTGGGCACCTTCTATCACGCCCTCTTCCCGGAGGACAAGCAGCTGATTGACTCGGTTTGTGGTGGGAACATGCTGACCAAAACACCGCCACAGCTGAATCAACTCTTTAAGGAGATGGCGGAGAATGGGTACGATTAGGGAACTGCCAGGAGATCGAGACGAGCACCAGGACGGGGTGTGCATGCTGTGGGCACCCAGTCATCTGATTTGGTGCAGGTGGTATCGAAGCTGGTTTCAGCTATCGATCGTTCTGGTTTGATTGCAGGTACAGGACAGCCGCAGGCGATGCACTGCCAGTGGTGTGAGAGCTCCCATCACACCGTAGAGGACTTTCAGACGATGAGGGAATTGTCTACTCCCCAGGAGCAGGTGGACTTTATCAGTAATGCCAGGCGCTTCGACCCCTACAGCAACACTTATAACGAGGGGTGGCGCCAGCATCCTAACTTTTCTTGGGCTGGGGAAAATCCCAAACCACCAGCTCCCCAGGGACCACCTGGCTTCGAGAGGCCTCCGTACCAGCCCAGACAGGGGCAATTTCAGCAGCCACAGCAGCCACTCTACCAGCCCAGACTGTGGCCAGTTCCACCTCAGTCACAGGTGCGACCATTTCAGCAGACAGGAGCAGCACCTGCAGCTCCAGTACAAAGTGACCCGATGGCGGAATTGAGAGATTTGGTGGG